AAAGGGAGCAGGTGTGGATAGAATTAGCTAAAAGGGAGCAGGTGTGGATAGAATTAGCTAAAAGGGAGCTGGGGGAAGGAGACTGGCAGAGAAAACACAACACTCCTTAAATATAACTAGAAGACAACTACAATGACACAAAATGAGAAATAAACCAATTACCAAGAAAACACAGAATGACATAATTCAAAGTGTAACTGAAAACTTAACATCATCTTAACTTAATATCATCCTCATCATCATCATCATCATCATCATCATCATCATCATCATCATCATCACCACGTAAAAGCCATAATTTCCCAGCAGCTCAGTAGGACCTCCAGCCAAGCCTGCTATCCCTCCATCATTATCCAGATGTTCATGGACCAGCGGAGACGAGCTGCAGCTGTCAGCCTGATGGATCATCTCAGCTGACGCTCCTATCACACCTGGATTTAGACCAGTGTATGCCTGACCTAAAAAAAATCTGCCGAAAACGCTGGCATGCGTTGGATAAGTTATGGGTACGTTTTTTTTACAAGTTTTGAGCACGCTGAAGCACGCTGGCACATGGCGACATACGGCGAGTATGTTGAGGTGCCAGCATCAGCTATCAGTGGTCCATCAGTTCCAGGTCAGTTATCTGATGGTCGTCATCCGTTCAGTGTCAGTTCCTCATCAGTCATGGCGTCTAGCTGATCCTAAACCTCTGAGTAACTTGTGCATAACTTCTGCGTAACTTCTCTCCAACGCATATCAGCGTATCTGACATGTTCCAGACATGTGTTGTGCTACTTTTACAGTAGCCCAATAAAGCCTTGTTTTTGATTAGAAAAGACGCCCATTCCAAAGGGGGGGAGCCGTTCGTCCGTTTCAATTTGCATGTTTCTATTCAAAAACAAGGCTTTGTTTGTCGGCTCTATAAAACCTGGAACTAAACGCTATTTCTGACATTTTGCATTGAAAAAGCTTCCTGGATGGGAAGAGAAACGTCTTCAAACTTGGAAACAAAGTCCAGTGGATTGTTTTTTGACTGGAATGACTCTGACCTGTGTCAGACTCTATAACCTGCCCATGTCATTTACACTGCTCTATTTGCACTACCTTATAAGATACTATTTTACTTTTTATTTTACTTTTTATATTTTATATCCATATTTTTATCCTAAGTGTATATATTAGTCTATTTTATTGCATGCCTTATTCCCACAGTGTTTTAGATATTTTTATAATTTTATTTACCTATTCCATATTATATGTTTCATGTTTTCACGATTGTACCATAAAAAATCCCTAGTTTGTGAACTCCTTCACTAACAATGGCAATAAACCCGATTCTGAAATTTTTAATTCTGACCTGGATGACTGTTACCAAGAACAATGTACCTGACAAACCAGTTGGGGAGAGGTTAAGAAATAGAACACAACTTAAACATCCTGTTTTATCTTAGGGCTATAATTTCCAGGTGAGTCAGCTGCAGGTGGAAAAGGTCACTAAGCAAAAATGTTCCTTCATCACTCTGTAGAAAATGTTCTCTGTCTGGTTCAGTGACTTTACACACATTTAGTTATTAAAATGTTTTTAAATTCCATGGCTATAAAACATTAAGATTAATTAGGTCAAGTTTGCTCTACACTATAAAGGCTGAACTAAATCTCCACCCTAAAGGGTTCCAAACATCATCCAGGTTAACTTTCTGACTTTTCTAACAGGTGTTCCGGCTGACAGGCAGTGCACAGCGAGGCTGACATGAAACCGACTCTAAGAAGGCAGAACTATGAGCAGATGGAAGGAACATCTGCTCTGAATGTTTCAGTTACTTCCTGGCAGATTAGAGCGTTTTAATGGCCCAAATTAGGTCTTTTTATTTTATTTGTTATTTTTATCTTTGCTACTGTTAGCAAACAGGAGGGATTAACCTGCTTTAATGTAGCTGATTAAAGTGATTCTTCATTTTCATGGATCGATTTTACCAAAATCACCAAAATCACCAAAATCATTTCTTAGAGTAAAAAAAACAAACATTAAAACATTCAAATCTGAATCCAACCCTGTTAAAGTCCAGGGACCATCATCATCATCATCATCATCATCATCATCATCATCATCATCATCAGCTGAACTTCCTGACTGAAGCTGAGATGCTCTGTAGCTGATCCATAATGCTCAAAGACGGAGAGAAGCTCTGACCCTCCTGGTTCTGCTGCTGATAGGTCAGACCAGGCTTTACTTCTTGCCAGAGATGGTCAACAGGTCGTCTCCATGTCATGTGTTGGTTCTTCTCAGCGACTGAACCAGGTGAGTCCGATCCACCCAATTGACCCTGCAGATTGGACTCACCTGGTTCAGTGGCTGAGAAGAACCAACACATGACATGGAGACGACCTGTTTACTCCAGACCCCCCACCTCTGCCTCTGGCTCTTGTGTCATGGTGACATCAGGACAGTTTAGTTTGCTAATAATCTTCTCTGCCAATAAGACTGGATTTAATTTCTATATAACTGTAGCACAGCCAGATGAGACAGGAAGAACCTGGAATCAAACCCTCAACCTACGGTGAAGGTAACGATTGTTAGACCTCCCTCTGAGACCTCTGCCCTCTGTGCCTTTTAGATTTAAAGAGGTAGAAAGTGAGACTCACCTGTAGCCCAGAGAACCAGCAGCAGAAGCAGGACTCTGACTGGGACCAGTTTGACCATCATGATGTTTCTGAAGCTCAGCTGTTGACTGAATGAGGAAGAGTTGTTCTGAACTAACCTGTCCGTTCTGCTCTCCTCACTAAACAACGCCCCACACACTGTGTCCTCCCCCCTCCCCCTGCAGAGCCAAACATACGTTCCCAGTGACATGCAGTGACTTGAAGTTAATTAGTAGCTTTTAAACTGAACCTTTTACCTCCTACAAACTGCAGCTACCTGCTAACATGGTGGAGACAATGTGCCTCTTTAATGACTTTATTTTGCCCAAAACAGAGCTGCTGTCTTCAGCCATAACTCAGACCAACAGCTGCCATGGCTCCACCCCAACCACCACAGAGCGCTTTCTGCATGAAACTCCCTCAGCAGAAACCCGCTATAATGGAAACCAGTCTGAAGCTGCAGATTTTCATTTACATTTGACATAATTCCAGAAGTGATGAGACGTGCTTCCCTAAAGCCATGGAAAATTCAGGAATCTTCTGACACATATTTGTTTGGATGTTTGTAAAGCAAAAGTTACAAGACTGATCATCTTTTTTTTCTAGAATATGACTGAAATTTAGTTTTAGTTAA